CGACTCGTTATCAGGCTTTCTCGGGCTACAACACAAGAGCAGTCTCACCAAATCAAGGACACTCAAGGAAATATCATCAGTGAGACTCGCTCCAAGGTGCGTCATGACAATGCCTCATCATCTACTCCTGTGCAAAGAGTACAAACCACAAGCAACCTGGCAGAAGAGTTAGCTTTGTACGACAGCTGCTCAGACCTAGACACCATAAACCGGGCCAACCCCTTAGGTGCAGAGGCTGATATTTTCAGTCTCCGAGTAGAAGACGCAGCATCTAGCCCAACTGCGCATGCACAAGCCTCACCTAGCCACTCTGCTGCCTCCCAACAGGTAGTAGTTTCACATATAGGGGATATTATACCCACCTCGCTGTCTCCTTACGAAGCAGCTGAGGATTTACTTTGTGGTCTTCCGCCCCAGACCACTACCCCTCCTTCTAGCACATTGAGTCTAGTTTCCACCCTCCCAACATTTTCAACATTTTCTAGGACACATTCACTGCTCACACCACTGCACACAACAGGTGCACTCTACTTGTCCTCAACGATCGGAGATACGTCAATGATGATCGGAAGTCCTGCTGCACATCAGATAACTCCATCATTATCCGCAGGCCACACTTCAGTAATCTTTACTGATGCTGTGACAACGGTTACTACCCCTGTAACCGGTAACCCTGACCCTACCGACCTTTCAGTCATTCTGCAGCGTTTCTTGGATTCCACCATTAAACCATGGGTGCACGAAGCAATAACCGCTCGGGCACAGGAATTCAGGAACACCCCGGCGTTGCTTAATGACATCATCCAACCTCAACCATCATCCTCACATACCCAACAAACCCAACCACTTCCTATCATACCTACCCAACAAACCTCTGAACCATCCACTACCCTACCTCACTCGCCTACTGCTTCAAGGGGAACCCAGGATACAGAACTAGTGTCCTCCCCTACTTCGACCACACCTTTTCCTGACCCTAAAACTTTACCGTTCGAGGTACTCGAGAACCTTATGCTAGATCAACTACTAGCCACCGAAGAAGGCAACCTAACCCAGAAACAAAAAGACCTTCTTCGGATCCTTAAGCCTGATAGCTCATGCCGTGATAGTCTCCTTGGTCACAAACGTTCGCATGAGGACCCCGATGACTCGGATCCTCATGAGGGGGAGGACAAGAGGCAAAGGATACTTGAGCGTGATGCGTCAACAAGCCAACCCTCTACGCAATCCAACCAACCTGAATCCTCGAACAATCAGCCCCCACCATCCACTCATCACAAAAACCAAACAGCCAATCCACCCACATCTAGCCCGGTCGAGCTAGAAACAACACTCCTAGGCTCATCTTTCATAGATGTAGACCAAGGATGGAGTGGAAGTCCTGAGGTTGCTACTTCGAGTACACCTTTCTATTCAGGCCATCAGAAAGAACCTAGTTCTAATCTGATGATAACGGGCAATCCTGAGGATCCCGGTGTTTCACATGACAGGTCGCCTTCGACACAACAACAAGCTCACTCTAAGCCCTCTGGTAATCAAATACAAGATGAACTGGAAGACCTTCTAGTTCATGATCAGTGGCCTCGCGAGTGGACAGAGTGGGATGATCTTAGAGTGGAAGCGGAACAGTACGAAATGTGTCGAAGCTGGCAACTCAGAGAATTTCTCAACAAATATCATGCACAAATGATTGGACTCGATGAAGATGAACTCAAGGAAGGGGAGAATCATAAAGAAAATCCCAAGGCACCAGAACCAGTCAAAGAAAAATGGGAAATTGTTAGAATCAAAGCCCCCTTCCTAGAAGAAATCCGAGAGAAAATCTGGAGACAACCTGAAAAAATCAAGAAGTTCAGTGAATTAAAGATGCGAGGAATCAATCACTTGAAAGGAAAATACCGAGAAGGTAACCTGTATATGCTAGGACACAGATCCACAGGGGAACGAAGACAAGTTCTAAATCATAATCTTGCAACAAGTGGATGTCCTATATCGAAAATCCTGGATATCACAGAAGACTACTTAGAAACGATTAAGTTCCTGATCTTTCGTCTACGACGTACCGATGGCTCGGAGTTCACCTGTCATGAGAATGACTTCTTCCTACTGCATATGGATGATATTTATCAAATGTTCATGAGATGCAGGGAGCTCCCAATGCACAAAGACAGACTTGCTAGAGAAGGTTTTGAGGCCATAAAGAGATTCATGACAAGACAAGTTCGGTTCTACGCCTCCCATGATCTCCAGATGACTCTAGAGCACAATTATTCAAAGGCGAATCTTACACGACCGGACTTGGATAGACCTGGGCTTGAAACCTTTACAGCATATTATACATTTGACAAGCCCATCTCAGTCATCTATCTGAATCACAAAGAAGAGAAGCGTCTGATGATTGTTGAAGACATTCAAAAATACTGTGATGGGACCCTGCAAATCATCCGAGAACAGCTCCAGCCAAGGAAAGAAGAGCTAGATAAAAGACAGAATGAAGCCTCGAAGGAAGAAATCAAAGAATTGGAAAGAGTCGATAAAATCTTGAAAGCCATCGAGAAACAACTTGACAGAAGAAGGTCACTCAGAAACTACGAGCATGCACTCAACCTTAGAAAGCATTATTTTAAAGCTCAGAAGCGAAGAAAAGAAGAAGCAAGAACATCTGATCACAAAGGGGGAGATTGTTAGAGATATTTTCATTATATTGTGATCAATGTTTCTTAGCTCTTTGTATTTAGCTTATATAAATAAATAGACTAGCTAGAATAATGAATAGGCCTTTTAAGGCAATTTGTAATAAAGGCTTACATGCCTTTTTAGGTATGGGCCTCCTAGAAAAAGGAGCCCAAATGATTGTAAAACCTACCTTTCCCGTCAGGCTATATATATGCCTTAAGGGAAAGGCTAGGTTAAGCTTTTCAATATTCCTAGTGCCGCAGAGCCTATATCGGTGATAGAAGTTTTACGCTAACTTTCATATCATTCTGTAAACTTCTTCATCATTCAATGGAAAGCTTCATTCCCAGATCTATCTTCCATACATACACATTCTAGACTAGAGAACAGAGACCTAACATCACCCATGCAAGTTAATTCTATATAAGACCATTTGTAGCCCATATAAATCAAGATGAATATGTAGAGGAATATATCTAATATTTGAGTAACGGCCGGTGATGTTGTTTTAGCCATGCTCGTTGTCGTGAGGATCTGGTAGCGGATAGAAACATGATAAATAAACAACCTGGTATGAGCATGTAACCTGTTTATTGTAGATTAGAAAATGAATTGAAAAGGTAGGATAAATTTGGCATCCCAAAACCATTTGAATGTGGCTTAACTAAAACACCTTAAAATTGAAGACAAACATAGTCATTGACAAAACAAATGGTTCAGGAATCCATATAAGGTTTGGAGGATTGGCATGCAGAGACCTGTCTTTAATACAGAGTATAATTTAGCACCTTAATGAACTCCTAAATTTCATTCTCATCAGTCTTTTAGCAAACTTTCTTTGTGAAAGTTCATCTACCTTTTAAAAATATAAATTTCACAATGTTAAGTAATTAACTCTAACAATATCATCGGAACCAAGCAAAATAAAATTCCTGAATTACTTAGTAAAGTAATAATCATGATTAATGTTGTTCTAATCTGGAGTTAACTTTTTGTCCAAACGTATAATCAATCATAGGCTGACCACAGACCTTGAGTATAAATCAATATTTGATTAATCAAATGGAAGGAATGAAAAAAAAAAAATTGAAGGTAACAAAGTCGTTTGCTAAACTCAGAGTCACAAATATGTCTGTCCTGTTGGGAAGGCAGATCAATTTTTGTGTTATCCATAATCCATTTCATACTCCTACAATCTATTTTCTCATTCCATGTACTGATTGTATTTAGTTAATAAGGTAAGGAATCAAGCCACTCAAACTTGGCCTTGAGAACTAGTTAATAATCCATTTGTTGTTATTGATTTAGCATCAAGTCCTTGATGAAAAGTTACAGACACTTCAATGTTAAACTCTAAGTTCAAAGCATAAATTAATACGTAGTACGTTTTTATCATATCTTGATGTTAGGATTAACAGTTGCAATGATACTATTTCTAAATACACAAGCTGAAAATATAGATGATTAAACGAAAATTGTAAAAGTAAGATTTGATTATATACCTGGACGTCATTATAGCTCCTTTGATTCAAAATAATTTTGGCTCCGCAAAAGGTTGTTAATCCAAAAATTACGCCACAACAACATCCGAATCGACCTCTCTTCTATCAACATCAAGCATGAGGACCGACTTCCTTTTCTTCACATAATATGAATCTGACTTCTTCTTGAAGGGAGCTACAGTACGAAGAGGGGATCGAGTTCCATTTTAGGACTGTAAAATCTGGTAGAAAGAAAGACAACATCACCAACGAAAAAGAAGTAAGTTCTTTTTTGGTTATGTTATGTTCTGATAATGGATAGGGGTGAGAATCTAGTCCTTAAAAGGTCGATTCGTTGACTCTCCATCGCCGGTTAGTCCCAGACATACGAAGGAGGAAGTCAGAATGCTAGATACACAACGCCATGGACAGTGGCTTTCTCCAAATTTGCAGCAGATCCGAATCAGATTCGGCGGATGGCGGCGCTATCACCGGCGATTCCAACTCTCAACACAAATCCGATTCAATTGAACTCCTGGTGAACATTCGGTGCTGAAGTTCAAATCGTCTGAAGCTTGGATGACGGAGAGACACAGTTCTTCCATCTCTAGTTGGCAATCAGCGAATGGAGAGAACTCCAATCTAAATTTCAATCGGGCCTGATTTAAGACTCACCCCAAGCTATAACCTATTTTTGAAATAAAAAAGTTTATGATGAAAAGTTAAAAGTTTAAAATTGAAAGAAATATTATCGGGTGATATAAATGAAATACGGCAGAGAAAAGGAGTCCAAACGGGTAATTTCCACTAAAATATATACAAAAACCAAAATCCAATGACCAATTTGACCTTAGACCAACAATCCATATAGGGTGTCGAGAAGGAACACACGGCGCTCAAGAACCGATACTCCGATAGCCGTCAGACTGCGAGAGATAGCAAACCACCATGGCGTCTTCTCTATCGCCACCGGAGGTTCGCATGGAACTTCACTCAGTGAACCGCGAGAAGCTCCTCAATTCTCTACGAGCCAATCTCTCTTCTTTCTCTCGTCCCTCTCAAGGCTTCGTGTTCTTGCAGGTAAAATGGTGTCTCTCTCTTTCTGCTTCGTATCCCTTTCACTGATTTTACTCTTTCATTTATCATTTATCTATTTACTTATTCATTCATTCATTCGTTAGAAACTGTTCAATTTAGCATTAAGTATGTTTAATTCTCTAAATAAATACTACCTCCGTTTTTATTTGTTTGACATAATTTGACTTCTCAAGGATTAAGGAAAAAATTTAGTTAGGGGTAAATTTTAAGGTTTGGACACTGCTTTGCATGTTTTGTTTACCAAATGGGAAGTGTGACATTCATTTTGAAACGTCCTTTGTTTTGTTTACCAAATGGGAAGTGTAACATTCATTTTGAAACGTCCAAAAAAAGGAAAGTGTGTCAAACAAATAGAAACGGAGGGAGTAGGACTTATATACTCCTACTAGAAGAAAAATTTGATCAAAACTTCATAAAATAGGAGTTGATGAGTCCTATTTTGAGAATAAAACGTGTCCTATTTGTGAACTTTATTCAGGTTTTATTTATTTATTTATTTATTTATTTATTTATTTATTTATTTATTTATTTATTTATTTATTTATTCGTTCGTTCGTGCGTGCGTGCGTGCGTGCGTGCGTTCGTTCGTTCGTAGTCACCATTCATTCATTCATTCATTCATTCATTCGTAGTCACCATTAGAAAAATAAGGATCATTTTCTGCGATTGTGGTTTAGGGAGGCGAGGATCAAAGTAGATACTGCACTGATCACGATGAACTATTTAGGTATCTGGTTGATTATCATATGCGTATTTGCTTGACGTGTGATTCCTTTTCTTCAAGTGCGGGTGTTACAATTTTAACATGTGTTAAACTATTTAACTAAAACTGTGATTCTGAACAAGGAGCCAATCTTCAAAGTTATTGTTAGTCAAGCTAATAATCGGTAATAGTTGCAGTATTTTATTAATAAAAGAGACGTAAAATAACAAGAACAGTCCAATCTAGAGAAAGATAGTGGGTTTCTCTCTCTAGCCCCAAAGCCCAGCCAAGACTTACTGAATTCCAGCCTGTCCCTCTTATTTCCCACCCTAACATATATATAGCAAACAAACCCGCTCATTAATTATTCCCGACTATTCCCGTTCCTCCTTCCCCTTCTTACATACACCCTATCAAAATATTCTACACCCCTTGTGCTATCATTACCCTCCCCTTGAACTACCACCTTGTCCCCAAGGTGGAATGTTGGAAACTGCTTCTGAAACTTGTTTAAATCTTCCCAAGAATCCTCAAAAGCTGGCAGCTGCTTCCAATGAATTAGCACTTCCTTCTGCCCATCAGGATTCACTCTGTAATCCACCACTTCTTCAGGCTGAACTTGTAACTCCCATTCTTCTGAAATGCATGTAGGTAGGGGCTGGCAGGGTATGTTAGGAGATACTGCCTTCTTGAGTAAAGAGATATGGAACACCGGATGCACGGTGCACCCCTCAGGTAGTTTCAGTTTAAATGCCACTGGGTTTATCTTTTCTATCACCTCAAACGGCCCATAGAATCTTGGGCTCAACTTCTGATTCAACCGTTTAGCTAAACTTTTCATTTTATAAGGCTGAATTTTTAAGAATACCATGTCTCCCACCTCCACTTGTAAGGGCCGTCTATGTTTATCAGCCTGCTGCTTCATTCTGTTTTGGGCCATAGCTAAACTGGTCTTCAATTCATCCAGTATTAAATTCCTTTCCGCCGTCAACTTGTTGACTTCTTCTACTGAGGACAAAGTTACATCTCCTCTCACAATAGCGGGGGGATCTTGTCCATATAGGGCCTTGTAGGGCGTATTCTTGATGGAAATGTGATAATTGGTATTGTACCAATATTCGGCCCAGGAGAGCCATTTAGGCCACTGTTTAGGCTTCAGTCCGGTGATACATCTCAAATATGTCTCTAAGCACCTGTTTACCACCTCAGTTTGGCCGTCCGTTTGAGGGTGGTACGCTGTGCTGTACTTCAGTTGGGTGCCTGCCATCTTAAACAGTTCTGCCCACAAAGAACTCAAGAAGACCCTATCCCTGTCCGATACTATGGACTTGGGAAATCCATGTAACCGTACCACCTCCTGAACAAAGACTTCTGCCACCTCCTTGGCTGTATAAGGGTGAACAAGAGCTATGAAGTGAGCATATTTGGTTAGCCGATCCACGATCACCAAAATTGTATCCTTCCCTTGAGCCTTGGGCAGCCCTCCAATAAAGTCCATGCTGATATCTTCCCATATTCTGTCAGGGATGGGCAAAGGTTGCAATAACCCTGCTGGACTGAGGGTCTGGTACTTGTTCCTTTGGCATACTTCACATCCTTGCACATAATCTTGGATGTCCTTTCTCATGCCAACCCAATAGAATAAACCAGATACTCTTTTCATAGTTCTGAAAGCCCCGGCATGCCCTCCAATTGCAGAATCATGGAATTCTTTCAATATTAAAGGTATTCGAGAAGATTGCTTGGGTAGTACCAATCTTCCTTGATAGTACAATAAACCATTTCTGAACTTGAAATCTGGTATACTTGCTGGATTTCCCATTATGTTTTGTATGATATTCTGATATTTCGGGTCTGCCTTCAATTCCTCTTCTAGCCCTTGCCACTCTTGGCAAGTAACAATGGACAAACTGTGTATACTACTCTTTCTGGATAGGGCATCTGCTGCCTTATTCTCACTGCCGGGTTTGTATTTAATAACAAAGTTGTATCCCAGAAGCTTGGCAACCCACTTTTGTTGTTCTTCCCCCATCAGTCTCTGCTCTGTTAAAAACCTTAGGCTTTTCTGATCAGTATGCACCTCGAAGATCCTGCCTAAGAGATAAGGTCTCCATTTTTGGATAGCCAAGACGATTGCAATCAATTCTCTCTCGTACACAGATTTGCCTTGGTTCCTCTGAGATAAAACCTTGCTCATATACGCCACAGGCCTCCCTTCCTGCATCAGAACTGCTCCTACACCTGTCCCGGAAGCATCTGCCTCAACAACAAAAGTCTTGGTAAAATCAGGAACCCTGAGAACAGGTAAAGTTGTCATAGCTTTCTTTAACTGTTCAAAAGCCTGAGAAGCCTCGGGGTTCCATTTAAATGCATCTTTCTTTAATAGGTTTGTCAGGGGGGCTGCAATCTTACTATACCCTTGTACGAACCTCCTGTAATAACCCGTTAAGCCCAAAAATCCTCTCAATCCTTTGACTTCTTTAGGTTCAGGCCAGTCCAATATGTCCACCACCTTGCCCGGGTCAGCGGCTACTCCTTCTCCAGAGATTATATGACCCAAGTAGGATAATTGTTTCTGCCCTATTATACACTTCTTATGATTAGCATACAATTGGTTGTCTCTCAGTAACTGGAGGATGGTACTCAAGTGTTCTTTGTGTTCATATTCTGAAGGACTGTAGATCAGTATGTCATCAAAAAATACTAAAACAAACTTCCTCAAATACTTCCTTAAAATCTGATTCATCAAAGCTTGAAAAGTGGAAGGTGCATTAGTCAATCCAAACGGCATTACCAGGTACTCGTAGTGACCTTCATGCGTTCGAAAAGCCGTCTTGTGTCTATCCTCTTCTTTCATTCTGATCTGATGGTAGCCGGATTTAAGATCAAGTTTAGAAAATACCCTGGCTCCTCCCAATTCATCCAGTAACTCTTCAATTATGGGTATGGGGAACTTGTTTGGTATTGTGATCCTGTTCAGGACCCTGTAGTCACCGCAGAACCTCCATCCACCATCCTTCTTCTTAACCAAGAGCACAGGACTACTATAAGGGCTGGTGCTGGGCTGGATGATCCCTGTATTTAGCAACTCCTTCACAATTTTCTCTATTTCATCTTTTTGGTAGTGAGGGTACCTGTAGGGTCGTATGTTAGGTATTTCAGCACCTTCCCTAATGTTGATAGCATGATCACAACTGCGTTTAGGAGGTAACCCCTTTGGCATTTGGAAAACCTCCTTATGCTTGTCCAACACTTCCTGCCAAAATTCTCCTGGTGCAGCTCCATTTACAGAGTCCTCCTGAGAGTTCCCACAAGTCACATAAAATCCTTGGCCTTCTCTTTGGAGAGCTTTTACCAGTGCCTTCCACGAAACTTGCACTTGACTTAAAGTTGGGTCTCCTTTTAAGCTCTTTAATCTCCCCTCTTCACACCACTTAAGTGTTAGTTCTTGGAAATTTATCACTACATTTCCCAAACTGGCTAGCCATTCAACCCCAAACACTAGGTCAGTTCCACCCAGCTCCAACAGGTAGAAATTCTGTATAATATCAAGACCTTGTACTCCAACCTGCAACCCCACACATCTCCTATTGTTGCTCACTCTGTCTCCATTACCCAGTTCCACTTGAAATCCTTCAATCTGGATGTAGGGCAATTGTAATTCTTCCACTAAGGCTTGTGATATGAAGTTATGGGTGGCTCCACTGTCAATCAAGATCAGCACGGATCTGTTTAGCCCATCTCCCATCAACTTCCCTTCCAACTTGAAAGTCTTCTGTGTAGTGATCCCCTGTTTGCTCATGGCTGACAATAGCATTTGTTGTGGTTCTCGAGAGTTTTCTGGCTCTTTCGAATCCATTTCTGGTTCCATTTCTTCTGCTTCTTCCTCAGGCCCCTCCATGAGAATAAACTGGTAGTATTTCATTTTGCAGATATGTTCCTTGCCCCATCTTTCCCCACATTTGAAACACAGCCCCTTCTTGCTTCTTTCTTGTAATTCTGCTTGTGTTAGTCTCTGGCCACCCTTCCAGTTATTGTTGAGTTCCGGTTTCACTCCCATCTTAGGCTCACCCCCAGCCTTTTCCTGAGATGATTGAATATTGGTCTGTGATCTCCATTTGCTTCCATCTATCCACTGTTGAGGTTTCTTCAGTGTCTCTCCCTTCTCCTTTCCATTCCTCTGGTCCCCAACCTGATATTTTCCCCCTCGAAATGCAGCATTCTTCCCTTCTAACACCAGAGAGATATCCATCAGTTCAGGAAGGGCAGCATTTGGGTATAGCTTGAGCTCAGCCTTCACTTCTTCCTTCAGGCCATTAAGGTAAATTCCTTTGAGCATTTCCTCGTCAGTATGCTTCATTGGACCTGCCACTCGTTCATAATGTTCTCTATATTCCATCACCGATCCAGTCTGTTTAAGGCTTAGCATAGGCCCAAAAGGATTCTGCACCAGCTCTGGTTGAAATCTCCGTATCAAAGCTCCTTTGAATTTCTCCCATGTTTTCTCCTTGTTTTGTTCCTCCCACCATTGGAACCAGTTCAATGCCTTTTCCTCCATGGCCAGGACAACCAGCTCCACTTTTTCATGATCGTGCACCAGATTCAACTTGAAAAAACGTTCCACTCTAATAATCCATCCATTAACATCCTCTCCGTTGAATAGAGGAAGATCCACTTTCCTTCCGGTTCTCTCAATTCCTCGCTTAGCACGAGAAATATGTGGTTCGCGAGAATCAACGGCCGCACTATGAGAATCACCTCCAGATTGCGAAGATCCTGTCCGAGAGTGTGCATCGGTTCGCTTAGTCGACCGCGACCTACTCCTGGATTGCCGATGACTCTGGTTGTTCGCGAGACGGCGAAGCTCGGCCATCACCCCATCCAACTTGTCTGCTATCGATCGCACCTCTGTGCTGTTACGTTCCAGTTTCTGCTCGATGTTGCTCACGTTTTGCTCGAGATTCTCTAAGCGATGTTCCATTTTTGATCGCGTCAGTGTCATTCACAGCCCGCAGGACCGTTTG